CCTGATTAGCGATACTAAATTAAAATAATAATAAAGTCGCCTACGCATTAATTGAGAACATTGACATTTTATGAAAAAAGTTTGGCATTATCTTCAAACTATGTTGAGGGACCTGTTTTGGTCACTTGAAAAAAGGAACGTTCAAGGTACATGTCTTTATACGTACATATACATCCGTATATGTATACGTAGCAAATTTAGAAGAAAAACTTTTTTCTCGGCTGAAGTTAGCACTGTCTCCTGTTGCATTGTAAAGAGCGCACTCTGGTCATTTCTGAAGCCAGCAGGACAAAACAAACCAACTTCAACATTATTCTGTTATTATATCCGCAACAATACTAAAACTTTCGTCGCTTTTTTCAAACGTTTGTAAAACATGATTTCATTTTAAATATCTGTACGAGATCAGTCATTTATAACTACACAACCGTGGGATATTTTGTTCTTGCATAAATACACGTTGTACTAGTAGCATAAGCCCTGTACATCACAACCAAATCAAAGTGAAGCAGTAGCACATTTGGCTGAAGTATACGTTAGGCTAATAAAGAAGTCTCAAACTGGGCAACATACCATCAGTTTGCGTGACATCATTTTTTATTTGCAGTATTACATATTCCCCATTACTTACAGTTTAAAACGGGCATTCAGTGAGTCCTCCAAACCTTAAACAGCATCGTTATTAAATACGCTTCAAAGATTTTGATGCTGTCCGTGCTACAAGCACCTGGAATGTATCATCAGTTGAAAACGAGATCTCTACTGAATTGAAAGATATAAGGGACCATTTGTTATGTATAAATCAGCTGTCACAATAGAGCAAAGCATTGGCGTGGTGTAAGTTTAGCTCACCCAGCTTTTACTAAATGAATCAGAAGTCATTCTACTCTTCTTGCGATGCCTAGGCTAAGTGTGAAATTAGCCAAACTCTTAACAAGAAAATAATTGCCCAGCATACATTAGTATAGAATAACGAATGGTCCCTTAGTGCAGTTATTGATACGGCACCGGAAGGCAAACGGTTTCTTTAAAATCTCATTCATTACGACCTGTTCTTCCAGGATGCGGGTCGCCTAAGAAGTTGGTTATAAACCGCATCAGCTCAATAACAAGGAGAAGGTTAAATAGCAATAATTATGTGTGTGTGTGTGTGTGTGTGTGCCCGCGCGCGCGCGCAGCATGCTCGCTCGCATGTAAACGAGCATTCGAACACAAAAGCAATCGGCTGCAATCATTTTGCTGGCCTATAAAGAAGAGAATCGTTCCATCTGAACGTTACTTTATCCAGTGCTTACCGGTTACAATAAGCCTAACCATTTTAACAAAAGTCATCTTCTTACCGGTGTAATAGTAACGCTAGGGCACAGTTAAATCATCAGTATATGACTTCCTATTCAAGTTCAATAGTAACAGTGGGCGAATCTCTGCCAGTTTTGGAGATATAAGAGACAGAAACTTTGCAAAGTTCAGTTCATGGTGAAAAGTAGGTCAAATGTCAATTTTAAGGTCACAAATAGATTACCAGTATTTATCTTCCTATTTAGGTTCAACAGAAACTATGGGTGTATCCCTGTCCATTTTGGAGATATGAGTTAAAAAATTGCAATGTTCAGTTCAAAAATAGGTTAAAGGTCAATCTCAAGGTCACAAATTAACAGTATACGGCTTCCTATTTAAGTTCACTAGTACCTATGGGCATCTCTGCCATTTTTGGAGATATAAGGGACTAAATGTTGCAAACTTCAGCTCATAGTAAAAAGTAGGCCAATGGTCAATTTCAAGGTCATATTTAGATTGCCAGTATATGTCTTTCTATTCAAGTTCAATAGTAACTATGGGCATATCTTTACCAGTGTTGGAGATATAAGGGACTAAAATGGGTAAATATTTGCTAATTTTGGAGTTACAGTAACGTGCCATACATTTCGTACAGAAAAAATTAATTGAAATAACAAAAAGATCGTTTTGGTCGAAAATCGTAAAATGGGAGGTGCTGAGAAATTCCAGACGTTCAGATTTCACGAAATGCTGTCATTTTTGACCGAAAGTTGTCTGTCTCTCGCTAAGTCTTATGTTATCTTTTGCTGGCGTTTGAAATTAATGGCATGTTACCGTATTTCACGTTATTTTCACCACCAACCATATGAAAATCAAAGAAAAAAAAACGGACACCATCTTCAGTGTTGCGCTTGACAAGCTCTACAAAATGCAAAATCCAAAAAAAAAAAAAAAAAAAAAAAAAAAAAAAAAAAAAAAAAAAAAAAAAAAAAAAAAAAAAAAAAAGAGGTCTCTAGCATTTACGGTTCCTGAATTACAGAGTCTTCAGTTTCGGCATCTTATGGCCGCTATTCCCGTGATTATGCACCGATTGACCCCAAACTCACGAAGATGAAAGATGTCTCTAAGGGTAACACCTGCCCATAGTTTTATAGGTTAGGTCTGTGTAGTTTCTAAAAATCGGCAGAAATCAATATGTCCTTGCAAAAAATTCCCATTTTAAGAAAATTTTGGCCCGTTTGACCTTGAAATAAAGGTGAAAGGTCAAATCCAAGAGAACATTTGAAATCTCCACATATGACTTTACATGTAGGTCGGTTTTCTGTAGAAATTTTCCCTTAATTCCTTCGGTTTGGAAGATATTTAGCATTTGATTTTGGACAAGGGTGCTTTGCAATGAGCGCCACACCTAGACGCCAGCACCGACAAAGCCCAAAATTTGCGTGGATCGAGTTGAGATTATATGTGACCTAAATCCAAGAGATGGGTACGTAGGCTCTTGTAGTCTAGGAGGAGAAGCGGCAACGGTGACTAGACGGCGGAACCAACGGAGCTGGCGGACTATGCGGGTCGGGACTAGACCATGTTCACCGCCAGCGCCTGCGCTGGTCGTACAATAACACAAATGTGACTATATTTATTCAGTAAGCAGCATTTGACAATATTATGAGCATGTTGGAGAAGAGATGCGTCGCGAGAGGAACTTGTGTACTGGCTTTTAGTACTAAGTCAACTAAGTTGCGTTTCACAAAGAATTCTGAAAGCCTAGTTACCTCGTTACTTTTCGACATTTTAACCATGCCGCTGAGGAATAGTGTATTTACCATAACAGTATGCAAATCCCATTCCGGGACGTATGAAACATTTATGTGGGCCAAACCCTCTTTTAAACGTAGAAAGTGCAACATGGTAAAGTCGATTTCAAGTACGTATAGCCGCTCTCCGCTTTTAGCAGTATTTGTTCAACCAAACTCTACAGCAAAGGTGGCAGGTATAGACATCAAACAGCAAAACACATCGCAACAATATTTAGAATTAAAAAAAAAATGAAAATTATCCGATCATGTTGACTTTTGAAAGGAACCCATTCTTTCCTAAACCAAGTCTGAACAAATTTGAAGCAAACCAAAACTGTGGTTTAACAAGGATAGGGCCCCGACGTTTCAGATGGTGACGGCGACAGAACATATACAGACACATACAGCATTTTTTTTTCTTTTATGAAACTGGAGCCTTAAGTGAAACAGCGGTATACAAAGGGGAGAGCACAAGAAAAAGTATTCCGTAAACTCAAGATACGTTTCCATACTTTTATATACCCAACATTGCAGAATGTGTCAGTACAACTATTAACAGGTATCTCAGACACTAATATCACAGAAACATAAAGTATGAGATACAAATTATTCCTAAATATACACATATCAAAGTTTATTATCAAATGACGTCATCTGGGTAACTACCGGTGCGGGTTAAAGCCAAGGTTGTATTGTTTTCTTCATTCCCTTGTGGGATATAAATACACGGCATAGCTTTCCAGGGCACTGGATCCAATCCTTATTCCTTATTACTATCATTATTCCCATAAATATATACATGTATCTGTCTCCACTCACATATACCGGGTATGCTCCGTGTCATATTATAACCAACAATGACACTTCAAATTCATGGCAATGTATGACCTAATATACACCTCCACGGCTCCATGTGTAAACAAGGCAACCTTGAGCTTGATATATTGAAAACATATCACGTTTATAATATGTATTTAGCCAAGCACATTGCCCCCCAGGTGTTATGGGGTAGGGGAGGGGGTAAAGGGCACGTTATGGTGGGAGGAAAGGGTTGGGTATGCCAGTGCGCTGAATACACCATAATCTGGATCGACCTAAATACAAGCCTTGAATGCTGCAGTGTGATTGTCAAAAGGAGATCAAACCAACACCTTCACATGTTGTAGACAAGGAGTGTTCCCATAAACATTATCATGCTAGCTTGATTGATCTATCTCTGCAGGAATTCTGGCTAAATTGCATTCAGTTTCAGCAGCTTAAATGTATGACATCCTACTCAAGCTGCTAGGGGGTAAATTAATGACAGTCTATTACCATCTAGCTATTCAAGGGGTGGGGTGTAAAACAAATGAGCTGATTACACTAAAAGCACTTTATGAAGAAGGTCCACAGACTTAGTTCGATCCAGCTAGTATGATGGGTTTATGGGAACGCAGTCTTAGAGTGCATTCAGAACAGATGATCCGTGGACTAACTGATCCGCTGATTAAATATGGCAGGTTCCACTTACAAGGGAAGCTGCTTATTCCCTGATGTACTTCCTGCCTCCACATGCAACATGAAACCGATTAAATCTTGGCTCTGATGTTTAATTGCTAGGCATCTGCAGCTACAGTGGGTGTGGAGGCAGGGATAGTCTTTTCTGAATGCACTCTTAGTCAATTGTGGCTTTACAACTGGACCTTGACTTATACTACTTACTTGTTAGTGTCAAGTCTGGATTGATTTTTCAGTGTTTTTCCTTTTTTTTGGGGGGGGGTGAGGTTTGTTGGTGTCTTCAGAAAAAAAATCCATCATTATACCAGGGAAAATGAAAAAATTCTACATCATCGTATTGCAGTCCTTTACAGTATCATTTCAATCAACTTTCTGTTAATACTTACAACTTCAGCATTTCACAACTGAAATAATTTTGTTAAGTCTTGATTCAAACTTCACTTCTTCTATTTCAGAACAATATGTTCAGTGTTCTAGAATAAACATCTCTTTTTGGTGCCAACATACCTTTGTGACATCAAGTTTTTGTATTGCCTTAGAGAGCATTAAGAGCAGATGATTTGCAGACGAACTGATCTGCTGCATAACTATGGCCGACTACACATAAAAAGCAATGCTGATAATCCCAATTTGCCATTTAGCAGATTCAATCTCCACTCTGAATTTTTATTGCAAGGCCCCTGCAGCAATGGTGTGTGTGGAGGCAGGGAGACCATCAAAGAATTAGTGGCATCGCTTTTTAAGTGGGGTCGGCCAATTTTAGTTGACAGAACAGTAAGTACCTGGATCACCTGTTCTGAAGGCGCTCCTATTTCCACAACAGGACAAGGGGGGTATCAGCATATGCATGAAAATAAATATTTTGAAAACATAAAAGAGAAACTTCTGCATTACAGTCTTAAAAAGTTAATGCACTAGTTAATAATTTAAAACGTTACACATATATTCACAATTTTAAAATAATAAAATGTCTGGTTTGTTCCATTTTTACAGCTTCACAGCTACTAGAGTGAATATCCTACTCCTGTCATAACATGGAGGTGGGCATCATTGACCAAGCTAAGGAACTCATCATTGACCAAGTTTCTATTTGTAAGTTTAACAACATGACTGATATATATTTCTTGACAGTTTGTGGATCAGTTTTAAGAACCCTCACAGTGCAATGTAACAAAGCTTCCATGAACTACTAGCAAATGCAAAAAAAGTCAAAATGAAAGTTGAATCATATTTCAAGTTTCTTCTTAATTGGTGTGTGAACAGTCTACTTTAAACATATCTTAAAAAACAGGAAATATTGAAACACTGAAGTGAAAACCATTCAATAAGTCAACTATCACCAAGTTCAGTGCCTAACAAAAGGTTTTTTCCAACTATTTCACCAAATTTGTCTTATTATAAACACTCATAAAATGGGTTTTCACTTAAAATTGTTCTTCTTACTGAAACAAGTAAAGCTGATCACATATATTCAGATCTAATAAACCTTTGGCAGAGTAAAAACCTTGTTTTTTAAGCATAAACTCCTATAGCATGATAACAAGTGAAAAAGCACCGTTAGACAGCACATATTACACATTTCATTCTATACCAAACATTTTGGTAAGCTCTTTTTCAGATACAGTTGAAGAGTACTTAGTATCATTAACTTGTTTAATCTTTGTTTAATTTTTTTCTTTATCTCCCTTAATCCATTCTTACAATTGGCTCTCTTTTATTACATTCATTCTTGGATATTAATAATGTGTCAGTTGTATGTGTGGAATCTTTGCAGGGTTGGCAATATAATTTTATATTTATATATATTTGGTTGTCTCAACCCATATATACTTCTGAAAAAATAATTATATATTTATATTCACTCCACTATGTTACCTGCTATTTTCCAGTAATCAACAGGGATAAAGTTAAAAAACTGTTTAACTAGATTACCTTATTTCTGATAAAATATAATTTGTTCTGGAACTTCAAAGAACAAACATGAAACTGTGTCACAGAATAAGGTGTTGAAGTTACAGAACTTGGGTACCATTTTCCTAAATAAGTGCACAGTTATTGTTCACTTTTTGTCCAAATTCTGGTTTCATTTCTTCTCTGACTTTGGCTTCACTACACTGGTAATCACAGGGGAGATGTATGATTTTGAGATTGCCGGTGCAATACTGGATCTACTGGAGGATGCAGTTTGTGTTTGGGGGTTGCCCGCCTGACTAGCAGGGGTCATCTCTGTTTTCAGGACAGGATTACCATCTAAAATTGAAAGAAGAATATTTATTAAAGTAACAAGATGAATGTTCTTCAGCTTCTTTGCATTCAATGAACAATGTAACTGGGAATGAAGTTATTTACAACAAAACAAATATGTATCAATTCTTCAAAAATTACGTACTTAGAATTATGAAGCATTTGCGAGATATGCTTACAAAAATTGCCAACTTGTGTCTAATTCATCAGACAGATACCATGAAAGATATACCAGATATACATATAAAACTTATCAATGTGAGTCTAGTTTATACCATAAAAACTATGAAATATTCATCAGATATGCATATAAAACAAACCAACCTGATTCTAGTTCATAAGACAAAAACCACGAAACATTTGCCAGATATGGATATAAAACTTACCAACCTGAGTCTTCTTTATACAACAAAAACCACAGAGCTTTTGCCACCTATGTATATAAAACTAACCCACCACTTAACACGAAAAAAAAAAAAATTGCCAGTTATGCATACAGAACTAATCAATCAGCAACTACTTTGTTAGACACAGGGATGAGACCTGTCCTCACTGAAAAAAATAGGAAAATTGGCCGGGGTCCAAGGTACTCGATTCACACGAATGACCCAAATGACCCTGAAAAAGTTGGAATTCTGACAAAAATCGGAAAAGTCTCATCAATGTAGACAAAAACCACAGAACTGTGGCCAGATGTGCATGTAAAACTAACCCAACTGAGTCTACTTTATATACGATAAAAACCATGGAACTTTTGCCAGCTGTGTATATAAAACTAACCCACCTGAGTCTAGTTTATAGGACAGTCCCTGCTGTAGGGTGACAGGACAGTCTTTGTGTGCTAGTAAGAGAGATTTCAGGTGGGCAACTTCACCCCGCAGCTGACTACACTCGGCCTGAAGTGATCAAAACTTTAATTTAGTTATCATTATTTATTCCATTTCAAGTACATTTTTATAATGACTAAGATGTGAAGAAGCATTTAATACATTTATTCTCTCACTCCCCGCCCACCCCTAAGAAAAGGGGGGGTGGGGGTGTTGGCAAGGTGATGACATTTGTGCACAGATAAATTCTATTTACTGATTATGGCACTGATTTGCAGTTGCACATAAGTGGGCACTGAGACTGCAAACATACTCGAGTAGATGGGTATATAGATAGAAAAGTGAAAGGGGCAGGGTATGTGGATAGGATATGTGAAAGGGGCAGGGTATGTGGATTGAGAGGTGTGAAAGGGGCAGGGTATGTGGATAGGATATGTGAAAGAGGCAGGGTATGTGGACTGGATGTGTGAAAGGGGCAGGGTATGCGGATAGGATGTGTAAAAGGGGCAGGGTATGCGGATAGGATGTGTAAAAGGGGCAGGGTATGTGGATAGGATGTGTGAAAGGGGCAGGG